CTTTCCTTCTTGAGATATTCGAAAAATGCTGAAAGTCACGCAAAAAAGTCGTTTTTTTGTCTGATTTTTAGCATTTTTCGAATATCTCAAGAAGGAAAGCATCATTTCTTAAAAGAAAATAGCCGAACTTGAGATAGAGTGTAAAGTATCTGTGGTAAAAGTCTCATCTCGATCGGACATTTTTTTCGAGAGATCGTAATGTTATCTGATGGAAACTGGAGTTTTTCTCAGAAAACCTAAAGAACATATCAGAAAATTCTGGACAAAAATATATCGATTTTCTTTTTCGATATTCTATCTCTGGTATAAATTTCGCCCTGATCAAACATCGGCTTCTCTAGTTTTCAAGAGGGTCAAAAAAAGAGACAGAGAGGGTACCCTTAGTCAATGATATATTTTCTCGTATCATTACAATTGAATCTCATTTTGGAGACTATGTTTCGATAAACTCGGTTAATGAGAAAATAAATTTTATTAAAGAACAAATGTTCCCAAACGTTCAATTCAAAATTTTTGAATAACTAGACAATTCATGATCATGTCGATTTTCAACATTGGATTTAGCTCGTGTCTAGCTCTATAACGCACATTTCAACAGATATCTGATCAACAAATTTAACTCGAGTGAGAGAGAGAATTTTTTCAAAGTTACTTAACTCATATGTGCAAATTAATGCGCATTTCTCTAAGAATAACAGCTTGCATATGTATATATATATATATATATATAATCCGCGTCATTTAGATCTCATTCTTTTGTGAAAAACATTCATGATGCGTAACAATTGTTATTTTTTTATTAAAATAGATCAAAAAAAATATGCTACAATTAGATGTGTGTTTTGAGAAATGAGTACAAACTGATTATTACAGATAAATAAAATAAATTAAAATAAAATAATACCAATACAAAATGAGTTAAATCTACTATACATGACTAGACGGAAAAGAGAAATGCAATTAAAATAATACGTAGAGGCGAAATTTGTGGAACCAACACCAGAAAAAATGAGATGAATACGTTGACTATTCACATATATTTAAAAAATTCACATATCTTTCGTTGTATTAATTGTTTTGTGTTTCAGACATTCGAGAACGTCGGCGACTTTCATCGTTAACATGAATATTATCATATTCAAGCTTCTAAACAAGTAAATCAAATCAAATTATTTTCAACTGGGTTCGTTTTTCTGATGTAGAAAAAATGGGATATAAATGTTATAGTGAAATTGAAATCTGATGAAATTTAAAATTCTACTAATGAAAATTAAAATACACATATGATGAAACATGGATTTTTATAAATTAATGCTTTGAAGAGACGATTTCTATTTACAAAGCAGTAGAACAAGATTATAACATTTGGATGGCATGTCTGAATCTGACGAGGGAACTCCCGAGGTGATAAATCGCTTTTTGATCGACACCTAGTGGGTTATAGGTTATCGACCATGCTGATTCTGAATATGACCATGGGACTTCCCCATAGCTCTTCGAAGATCCAGTCTTCTGGAAAACCAGTTTTTCAGAAACCCCAAAAAATAACCCAAGCCTTTCTTAATAATGCAGGATTGTAGCCCGCAAATTTCTGATTAAAATGAAATATCCTCCAGCTCTACACGACCTTTCTTTGCAAAGTTATAGAATTTATAAGAAGAGCCCTAAATTAATTTTTTCCCTCTTATTTCTGTAGTTTTGAGCTGACAATGAACAATTCAGGGCTCTTCTTATAAATTCTATAACTTTGCAAAGAAAGGTCGTGTAGAGCTGGAGGATGTTTCATTTTAATCAGAAATTTGCGGGCTACAATCCTGCATTATTAAGAAAGGCTTGGGTTATTTTTTGGGGTTTCTGAAAAACTGGTTTTCCAGAAGACTGGATCTTCGAAGAGCTATGAGGAAGTCCCATGGTCATATTCAGAATCAGCATGGTCGATAACCTATAACCCACTAGGTGTCGATCAAAAAGCGATTTATCACCTCGGGAGGTCCCCTCGTGAGAGTGAGTGATAGAACAACATTGCTAGAGTGTCAACAAAAATCCATGTTTCATCATATATGCAGCCATCTGCATTTTAATTTCCACTATAAAATAAACATACGTATAATGCATCACGTCGTCTATATTCCAATTTGGCTTTTTCCACTCTCACCCAATAGGGTATTTTATCGACGCATGATTGCATAAGTTTACATAATAAAATAATAAAATGCTAAAATAGAAAAATGTTATAACAAAGCGAGTTATACGTTAACTTAACTGCGGTAAATTTGGATTCATCAATCTAATTATTACTAATAATTATTATAATAAATACTTAACTAATAATTACTGATTACATATACTCTTAAGTTCGTTCTATAAGCTGATAACTATTCACAGAGTTATTAATTAAGTTTAAATTTGAATTAAAATTTAAAGTACTAGCCCTCATTTTAAAAAACTTGTAGCTCAGCCAGAAATAATCGTAGAAAAGTCATTCATGCATTGCTTGATAGCCATATGGAAGAAAATTTTGAAAATCAGACAACGTTTTTATAACTCAATTGACCCCCCCTTAACAAAATTTCATACATCATGAATCAAATGTTTTTATATCAAAAACGTTTCTTGAGGAGGATCTTAACTATTAAACATAGCTTAATCTCAATGCAATCAATATTTAAACATCTTACTTCGATGAGTACAAGTACAAATATTTCAGCAGCAAGTGGCAATGGTACAATTCTTCGAAATATGCCTTTGACACAACATAATGTGCAATTAACAATCGTTGCTGCTATAATCATCCATTCTAATATATTTTGCCAAAATCCTATGTCTTTTACACGGTGAGTGAATGGACGTTGATAAATCATACACATTTTAAATGCATCGGTACGTATCTATCAAAACATTAATAAAATTATAACAGAATGAAAAATAAGTGAGAAAAAACAAACCTCGACTATATTATTTAATAGTGAAAAAAATGCCGCTAATGGAAATTTTGATGAAAAGAAAATAATATAACCAAACTGCATTATCATTTCTAAGTAATCTTCGTATAAATCGGGAAATCTTGGTTGTGAACATTCAATTTCAGCTTGTGAGAGTGTTAAAGCTTCAAATGATATTTCAGATTGATTTTGATGTAATGCTTCAAAACTACGGTCCGTTAATGTTTCATCAATCGCTTCTGTTGTATAATCATGATTTTCACTCTAAGAATAAACTCTGTTCAATTCTACATGTTCAAGTTAATTCGAACTATACACACGTACATTTTGTCTTTCTGATGATGGTGTTTTTGTTTGATCATCTTTCCAATGACATTCATCTAATATTCGTTTTAATTCTTGATTTAATTCTTTTCTATCGACATATCGATCACGTTCTTTTTTACTCGCTTTAATCAAAAAAGATAATCTCGTATTTGCAACTAAATAGGGTACCAATGCTTCTTTGAAATTACGCCAAAATTGTTTGATAACAAATATTGCCAATAGTTGCTAAAATATTAATAATTATTTCAACACAATTCGATAGTAATGCTTAATTGAACAATCGTTACCTGAGAAAAATGAGTATCTTTATGAGTGAGAAAAGCAATATAAGAAACAGACAAGTATGAATTCACACACTGAAACTGAAGTGAAAAAGAATCTATTCGTTATCGATTTTTTTTATTTAACATTTTGCTAGAATAACTTACAGCAAAAAGCTTTTTTATCATTTGATTATCATATTCGTTTTGTTCACGATAATTTTCTATGTAACGATAAAATGTTTATTAACGAATGTAATTAAAATAACACACATTTGTTACCTTTATCATTTAACCAACGGCTAATTTTTTTATATAGATCGCTGAATATGGTCGTTATAATTGCCAAAAGAATTTTTGGAGAAAATTGAGTCAATGACATTAAAGCTGAAATGAGATAGAATATCCGTAGTGAGTAAAGAAAAAACCAAACGAGAGATCAGCATAAGATTGATAATCGGTACATTTTATTTTTTGTCTAAAAATGGTTCCGCAAGTAGGAGAAAAGTATTTTTATTCGTAATTTCGCTTACTTTTGATTACTGAAATCTCAGTGGTTCTTCGTTAATGAAGCATCCATCTATCACCCCTTCATAGGTACACATATAATAGAAAATTCAATAGATATATGCAACAAAGCTTATATATGGTTGTTGCATATATCATTTAAAACTTGTTGAATTTCCTACAAACTGCGCTGTTTCAAACATTATAATCAGTACGTTCAATCACATGAAGTTAATGTGTGAATCAGTTTCTGTAAAAAAGTTTAGTGTTCTGGAGAAAAAGAGATACACAAATGAAAACTGTCTAATGTGTACATGTGGCTTTAGCAGAGAGACTACTAAACACCTTTTTATGGACTGTGCTCTTTATGACAAGTCTCGTAATCTAATGTTTGAGGAGCTGTGTATTATCCTTAAAGATAATCATATTACATTGGAGCATATACATTTGAAACATGAATCTATCCAAGTACTGCCTAAGCAAGACCTAATACGAGTGTACACACCCATCATCCGCTTTATTGATACCACTGGAAGATTCAATCAGTCATGATGTACTAAGCTTCCATGAGCTGAATGTCACATGGACAGGGCGGGTCTTAGAAGTCGATTCCCATTTCTCTGTCTCTTCACCAACACTACTACAATCTCTCTTCTCTATATACTTATTTTATTTTATAGTGTTCATGTAGAATCAGGCATAGAATGGGGGATCCCGAATTGCCGTATATGTGTTTCTTTTGTTGTCCTACTTTTTTTTAACTATTATTTCGTGAATAAAAAATGTTTAAGCAAAAAAAGTATCTAATTTTTTATGTGTGTGTGTAGAATTATTACTACTATCAAAATACCTGTTATACACAGTGGGCATCCAGGCGGACATTAGGTGAAAAATCGAAAGTAAAGATTTTAATATTTCGGTTGTTGACAAGTATACTTCCATAATGGGGCCATCTAATCGTGTATGAATGGTTGCTAAAACCTGAAGCGATGTGGAGAAACAAGTGTTTAGAAAACGGCATGGAAACTACCGACTATCATTGCTCTGGACTTGAAATGCCAGTGTTCGCGTTCATTTGCTTTGTTTTTCCACTGTCAAGCCCATGTTTAGAATCAGAAAAACTTCAGCTATCAGCTCGTGCCAAAAACTAAACATTATGAAGCTTGTAACGAAAGTAAAAGTGAAAAAAGTTGACATCTACCGAAATCAAAGTGCTCTCATATGACTATACCTCAGTATAGTCGAGTTCCACGATTTTCCACACCTCTAAAATAGCATTCAAATACGTCAAACGTTTCGTCTCACACTGCTATATATATCATAAGCTCCCAAAACCTCCCAACTTTTTCTTTAAGTTTTTACCGATTTGACAAAAACCTCTAAGGATATCGAAGTATTTCACAGTTTTCTCAGTCGAAAATTAACTTTTTCGTAAAAATAAGGCCATATTCGGAATCAGCGTGAAAAACTGCATCGAATGGTGTATAACTCATCTAGTCTTGGTCGCTTGATTTTGAATTCTAGGAATTTCGCAGTTTTTGAGATTTACACAAACAATTTCGTGCTGAAAATTTGACTTTCAAGATAAAGTAACCTGAACGACTCGAAACATGTTCCTTATAGGTTTTCGACAATGCTCTTTCCAGTGGCACTCACCAAAACCCTTTTTATGCTACTGAGATCTCAGTAGCATAAAAAAGGTTTTGGAATCTTCGAGAACTCTCTACACGTTTCATGCAGTGACAAACTCAGAAATGCTTGAAGAACGTTTTCAATTCGCGTTACTAAGTTTTTACTATACATTTTCATCTTGTCAACTTTTAAGTATTAGGAAATAAGAGTAGCTCTACCTTGACCTCTTACTTTAGGTGATGGTTAAGCGGTCAACACATAAAAAGTGTTGGTCGTCTGATTTTTCCTAAAGATAAAAGTCTTATTACAGAATCTGATTTTTCTCTGACTTTTCCATTACTCATAAAAAGCTAAGGAAAGCAGCCCATTTTCGATCATCAGTAGATTTTATATACTGAAACGGTTCACGAGGATACTGTTTATGTTTCCGAAGCCTTTTTTAAAACAGAAAGGTTTCTGGAAGTTCGAAAACCAGAAAGGTGTTGTCCGAAGCCCGTATCGGTTTTTGAAAGCGTTTTGGTTTCTGCGAAATTGCTTTTCTTTTAAAAAGTGTAGCTACCACCGCCCCCGTTAAGCCTGTCTGTTGACCAAGCTGCACTTAGTTACTACTTACTATCTTCCGCATTTGCTTGCTGGAGAGAAGCTTCTTGTACTTTGATCTTTTTAATCCATGCAGATTGTTGTTTATCCACTGCGATACAGATGTTCGATTGTTTGGTTAGTTCATCTTTTAGTTCTTTTAGCTGAGTCATCCACATGTTGAGATCTCTTTCGTCGTAATCGTCATCTTCTTGACCTTTACGAGCCTCTTTCGTTACTTTGCGAAACCTGTTAATCAGTTGATCCTTATTTTTATCCAGTAGTTGGTTAACATCAGCCCGGCACTGATCAGCAAGTTGATTAATTTTATTGATCGAGTCTTTTTTCCATTCATCGATCTGTTTCAACAAATGGTGAGGTTCATTTTCATTTGGAGTTTCCAGCTGTTGTTTGAGCATATCGTGCTCGTAAACAAACTGATCGAGTTCTTTTGACAATTGTTGGCGGTGATCATTGTAACACCCTCTACACAGTTTTGATGAACAGCCTTCACACGTGATTGCAGCAGCATTTTTTACACATTTGGGACATTTAACTTTTGATGCAGTCATCATTTAAAAGCACAATGAAGTAATGGTTCTTCTACGAGAAAAAGCATACTCTATTTCAGTCTCATATCAACGTTAACAATAATGATCTCAGCGTAGTGTGAATTAACAGCTCGAAAGCATTAATTTGTGTTTGTATTTTACCTAATGTATAACAGAATTTGTGTGTCACACACTTGTCAATTTAGATTTTTTCACATTTGACGGTGATTAAAAAAAGTAAATATTTTCATAAGAATAAAAGAAATTCCTTTTTCTGTAGATTACAATCATGGTTACCTTTCTACAAGAGAGCAGAACAGCCACATTTTGTACACATTTCATTTCAAAAGTAAAATAAATACGCAATAAAAGATTTTTCTTTCCATTATCGTAAATCGACTTTTTATACACTGAACAGAATCGATCCGAATTTTTTAATGCAAAAAGTGATTTGAATACAGAGATACTTTGCTACATTCATTCAATAAGCTATTCAGAAAAAAATCGGACCGATTCTGTTCAGCGTATAAAAAGTCGATTTTGCGATCATGTTTTATGGTGTAAAGAAACCAAATGAAAAGAGAAGACAAGAGGAAGAGATGCCGTTAGAAATCTATAACATAACAACCCAAAATCATGTTACCCGATCAGAATTAAGTAAGGAAGAAAATCTAGCTGCAAAAATAGCTGCATTGGCCAATTAATCGATAGCAGCTAGTTGTACATAATTGAAGCTAGATGGAATTTTCATGTATTCCAGTGCAGCTAGTTCAAGCTAGATAAATGTCCCTCTAAATCTAGATGCAAGCGCCCGCTTCACAACTTTTTTTCGTGCTTGTGTAGGCCCGACAATTTACCTGTATTCCACGAAAATACTTAGAATTCGCCGATTCCCCATTGGAACTTTTAAATACTTTTGAATTAATGCAAAGTAATTTCGAGATTCAGAGGAATTTGAACAAATTTGAAAGGAAATTCGTTCACATTAATTTAATTTAATTTTTGGCGTTCAAAATTAATGCGTATCAATTTAAATCTTTGAATAAATGATAAAAAAATAAAAAAATATACATCAAATTAATGCGCATTAATTTAAAAATACTGACATTAATTTTAGTTCATTTTTTCGTGAAAAAATTAATTTCCCTCGTGACCGCATTATACAAAGTCTCATATTAAATTAATGTACACGAATTACGACCTTCGAATTAGTGTACATTAATTCGAAAACTCAGCACTAATTTGAATTAATGTTTTTCCAAATTCCTTTAACTCAATTTAGTAATAAATTGATTTGCACTAATCTGACAGAAATTAGTTCAAAACAATTTTCAACTTAAAATTAATCTGAATTAATTTTTGCAGACTTTATCATTGTTAATTTCCTACCACATTAATTTAAACGAATTTGTGGTTTTAGAATGGTTTAAATTGATATGAAAAAGCATTAATTTACAATAATTATAGATTAAAAATTCGTTGAAACTAATTTAGATCTAAACCAATTTTAAATCAATTTACATGGGAATTAGTTTACATTAATTTTCGATTAAAAATTAGTGTAAAGTAATTTGAGATTAAATTAGTTCAAATAGTTGGTGAAGATTTCAATATTTTTTTTCAAAAAAGAAAAAGCTCAAAGTCCCCGTAGTATATCTGATATAGTTAGAGGCTAAGTTTCCCGAAGCAACTTTTTGCGAGGAATCAAATGGCACTCTCAGAAATTCTTGAAAATATTTCTGAACCGAAATAAGTACCTATTTTGGTTTCGAAAAACTTGAAATTAATTTGCATTAATTTTTTTTGTAATTATTTACATTAATTTAGGTACAAA